AAGTATGTGAACTTGAAGTGATTTAATATCTTCATATCGTAAACGTGACCGTTTTTGCTTAAATTGTACCTACGTTTAATGCACATAATGTGATTTGCTATTCTTTATGAGTTGGCATTTGGTTATTTTGTACGGTGAATCCTTAATGAATGTTCCCTTGATCCTTAGAAGATTCCGAGGGGTAAAACGCAGGTCAGTTTTTGTACACTAGATTGCAGTTTCAAAAGATGATGTCCCCTGATGATTTCTTGTGATTACCAGTAAGGTTGCCTAAGACTTCCCCTAATTATAAAGATGTTTGAAATGTGCGTGTGCCTTAGATCTAGAGATCGAATGATTTCCTTAAGATTTCCTTTGATTTCCTCTGATTTTCTTATGCTTATGATTTCCCCTGAATTCGTTCACCAGATTTTCTTGTTGTTTATACCCCTCCAAAAATTGTGGAATCCACTCAACAATCAGACTTAATGTTTATCCAAATAGTTTCCAAATAAAAAAATTATCAATATTCCAACGCTATAAGGCTAATATGAATTGAAATTGGGTTCAATATATAATGATTATGATGTATTATTGATAAATTTAACCTAAGAAGAATATATAGGTTTAGGTCAGATCAGGGGTACACTTTTATTGCTGCCTAAGACCATATATTCTTTTAAATCCCCTGCTATGGTACGCTCGGCCAGCCATACCGTCTGTAGCCACCAGAATCAATTAACATCAAGTTGGAAGTGAACTGGCAAAGAAGCTGCTGCCTTATGTAGCTGGATGTTGAATCATCAAAGGCTAGAGGAAGACAACCTTGATCACAAATTACCTGGTCCTCCTGGTAGGGGGTTGAGGCATCGGGCTAACTCCCCGTTACTTGGAAAAAAAATTAAACTGTTAAAAGACCCAATCAACAGCCTCGGAACAGGATCGAAAAACGAAGACGAACTAGGCAACGGAAACGGACAATGAGTATCGGTACATGGAACGTCCAAGGAATTTCTAGAAAATTGAATGAAGTGATATCAGAGATAAAATATCAAAAAATGGATCTGCTTGTCGCCACAGAGACCAAAAAGAAAGGACAGGGCTCAGAAAATCTGAGAGAGTACGATAATTTCCTTAGCGGGGTTCAAAAAGAACTCAGAGCGAAGAAAGGAGTCTCGATCTTCATACATAGAAAATGGAGAAAACATATAACATCATGGGATGCAGTAAACGAAACTATAATAAAACTAAATGTATGTATGTTCGGAAGGAAAATAACAATCTTGGATATGGAGCGAACGACGACGAACCCGTTAATATAAAGGATCCATTTTATCAACAACTCAGTGACCAAATCATAAAAGTAGGAACTTCAAGGGAAATAATATTGCTGGGAGACTTTAACGGACGAACAGGAAGAAAAATCAACGACAAGGTGATCGGAAAATTCGGAGAGAATGTAACGAATAACAATGGAGAAAGGCTCATAGAAATATGCCAACAAAATAACCTAAAAATCCTAAACGGTTACTTTCAGCATAAAGAAATACATAGGTACACATGGAAAAATAAAACTAGACAACAAAAATCTATTATTGACTACACTATCGCAAAACAGAGCTCGAACATAAAATTCCAGGATGTGAGAGCATTTAGGGGAGCGACCTGTGGTAGCGATCATTACCTCCTAAAAACAAAAATCTTTATAAATGAGGGAAATGGCTGTGTGCACATCAACGATGTAGAGAAGAAAAAGACAAGGGAGACCCCAGTGTGTATTCTGTGCATAAATTTTATTGAATAGCAGAGCGCTTTCGGCCGTAGGCCATCTTCAGTGCTTCTTTGTCAGGAGTACATCGAAGTCAGAAATTGTAAAAGAGCACCACATACTTAATGGAACGAACATACATTTAAATTATTGCAAAACATTAAACATTTAGGTGTAAAAACATTTAGGTGTAAAAAGGGGGCCCTAGGGCTGAACCATGGCAATTACATTAATTAGTTTGGTCTCAGACAACTGTGTCTGAGATCTTTATACCGGGCAGAAACATCGCAGAAGAAAACGGAATGAAAACCCAAGAAGACAATATTGTGCCTGAGAAATACAACCTAAAATCTCTAGAAGAGCAAAGCGTAAAAGGGTTGTACATGAAGAGATTAGATCAAAAATTACAGAGTAGTATGAACTTCCAAAACCTTGAAATGCATTACCAATATATCAAAGACAGTATTCACAGTACAGCATTTGAAGCCCATGGCAAATATGAAAAAAAGGGAAGTAGGCCCACACCCTATTGGTGGGATCAAGAAATAGAGAAAGACATAGAAGATAAAAGGAAGAAATACCAACAGTATCTAAGTTCAAATAAGACACGAGACAAAGAAATATGTAAAGAAGCACAAGCAAGAGTACGGAATAAAATAGTACACAAAAAGAACGAGTCATAGGAAAGAAACTGTGCGCATATTAATACTTATCTGGGGGGTAAAAGAAACACAGAAAGTTGGAGATTACTAAAAAACATGAGAAAAACACAAACTAAGGATATTATCAATACAATAACACCCCAGCAATGGGAAGAGTACTTTGAAGAATTACTGACAGAACAGCGGGCAGAGTTTAAAGAAGAAAGGGAACAGACATGAAACATAAAAACTGCAGGATCACCAAGACGAGTTATGCAAGAAGAAGTTAAAAAACACTGCGGCTTCTTGAAAAATGATAGGGCACCAGGCCCAGGAGAAATATATGGAGAACTGATAAAGTGTGGGACCAATAAACTCTACAAACATTTAAGAAAACTATTTCAAACGTGCATAGATAAACAAGAAGTACCCGAAGAGTGGAAAATAAGCTATTTAACAACGATATATAAGAAAGGAGACAGAAACAAATGCGAGAACCACCGAGGAATTGCAGTAACAAATACGCTGAGCAGAGTATATGGAAAACTCATAAAAGCCAGAATAGAGAACGAGTATAAAGATAGTGAGGCAGAAGAATAGGCCGGTTTTAGAGCAGGAAGATCAACTGTAGACCATTTATTCAGCTTGACCCAGGTAATGGAAAAGAAACTAGCCTATAACCAAGAACTCCATTCACTTTTTGTCGATCTAAAGAAAGCATACGACAATGTTCCGCTGAAAAAGCTTTGGGAAGCACTGGAAAAGACCAATATCAACTTAGAACTAATAAAGGCAGTAAAAACGCTCTATAGTGATGCAAAGACCAAGATTAAACAGGGAAACTTATTCAGTAAAGGCTTCACAGCAACTAAAGGACTTAAACAGGGATGCTGTTTATCACCAGCACTTTTTAAAATATACTTAGAACAAGCGCTCAAAGGGTGGAAAAACAAATGCAGACACATGGGAATACCGCTCAATGAATACAATCTTTATACTTTAAGCTTTGCAGATCATCAAGTCAAGTATTAATTGCACAGGACTATGATGACCTAGAGTACATGACACGAAAATTGATAGAGGAATACGAGAAATGGGGTTTGGAAGTAAATCTAACGAAAACAGAATATATGATTATAGGAGGTGAACAACGAAATCTGAAATTGAATAACGGACAAGAAATAAAACAATGTTCTGAATACAAATATTTGGGCATGAAAATCTCACACGAGGGAACCCTAGACGAAGCAATTAACGATAGAAATATACAAGGATGCAAGGCAATATCCCTACTAAATGGTGTACTGTGGGATCAAAATATCAACAAAACTAACAAAATGAAAATATACAACACCATAGTCAAAAGCATAGTCACGTATAGTTCAGAAGTCTGACCACTAAATATCAGAAGCGCAAAAATGCTGGAAGCAACTGAAATGGACTTTTGGAGGAGATCGGCAGGCAGGTCAAAAATGAAGAGGATAACAAATCTGAATTAGGGAGATTATGGACGTAAAACACACAATAATAGATGATATAAAGGACAAACAGCTAATTTGGTTCGGACATGTACAAAGAATGGCAGATACAAGAATACCCAAGCAAATAATTGAGTGGAAGCCAGGGGGAAGAAGAAGACGCGGTAGACCAAGAAGAAGCTGGAGAAGTGGAGTAGACGAGGAAATGAAAGACAGAGGCCTAGAAGAGGATGCCTGGATTGACAGAGATGGTTGGAGATCGGGAATCGGAAGACGTAGAACGTTATAGACCGATAATTATATATATATATAAGAATATATAGGTCAATTCTAGTATTTCATTGCCAGTGTGTCACGTAATTGAATTTGCCATGTGCGCAACGATGTTATAAATATTCAATCGACGCGTTATTTGTTTGATATTCAACAAGTGTTATGTTATTATTATTTTTTTATTGGCAATCCATACACGCTAATGGATCTCATTGGAATTTAATCCAGCGCGGATTTTTGTATTTCTAAATTGTATGTTTTAATCAAGGAAGCTTTGAAAACTAGACTCAAGTAGACACCCTATTAAAGCAAATGCACCATCTCACATTTTGATATTTGACTGGAAAACTATTGAGAAGAAAGTTTTGAAACTTTTCAAGTGAAAAGAGAATAGTTAGGAGATCATCATATTAAAATTTCAATTTCATCCAATCCAAAAATCCCTTTCTGCGTTTTGAAATATCAATATTATCAATAATAAAATGTTGACTGCAGCTGAATACTAAGCCCTGACCTACCCTTCTTTAATAGCTGTATTAGAAAAAAATTATTAGGTGTTTACATTTGCTACCTATCTCATTTCGCTGATTATGCATTTTCAATTTAATGTCAGGGTTAATTGGAAATTATTTTTTTTGCTTGTTACAAAATTATTGAGTACTTTTTTAATAGTCTTATTGTATAGAGTATTCATTTTTCATATGGAAACAAATTAGCTTATTATTCCTATCGCAACCACGTTTGAGAAAAGTATTGTTTTAAATGTTTATGCATTAGTTTTGTAGTGGGTTGATCAGTTGGTATAGAACAAAACTATAATAATGGATTGACATTTTTTAATACAATTTTCCTTTTCCACAGATAACTAACTATGGAAGAATCACAAATTAAAAAGTTTTACAAAGGAGCAAATGTATTCATTACCGGAGGCACAGGATTTATGGGAAAAGCTTTGATCGAAAAAATACTCAGGGACACAGAAGTGGAAAGCATTTACGTTTTGATTCGAGAAAAGAAAGGGAAAACGGCACACATGAGAATAGATTCGTTGTTTGACGATGTGGTAAGTTCATATCCTGGTTTATATGATATCTAAATATATAGTGATTTAAATAGCTCTAATTATCACACTATTGCTAATAGTAAATATCAATACAATTATGACTATTTGCACTGATTTTAATGGCCATCAAGGTTGTAGGTATCTATTTTCATAGTGGAGAATTTGGGTACTTATTTGTTTAAACGCAAATTCACTTTTCGATTTGGTAAGTGTAAGAATGGTGACCATTGTATATTGCCACGAATAAGGCATAAGTATTAAATTATTACATGCCTATCACATAGGACAAATCATTAAATTTTATTTTGAAGGCTGAGTTCAGCAAATCGGAACTTAGTATAGGTACTTAGCAATTTGCTGGACTTTGAAAATTACGTAGGGAAATTTTCGGTTTCATTTTTTACCTTCATTATAGATACAATCCTAAAAAATTGTCCTATTAATTATCTGATTGATCATTAGATTGAAATTACCAGTGATAGTGCAAAAAATAATAACATTTCTAGTGTTGATGATTTTTTGATGAACCCATTTACCTAATTTAAATTGTAGAAGATCAATTATTAAGTAGTTTATGTTAAATGAAATTTGCTATTTGTTTTAGATTTTTGATCGCGTAAAATCCCTAAAACCAAAGTGCAGAAATAAAATAGAAGCTATTCCTGGAGACTGCTCGATTGCAGGTAATAACTTTTGTACCTATACATCAAGAGCCGGTAATAATCAAAAGCTGAATTTTCAGTTTATTTATTTATTTACAAACTCAACAGATTACATCCACTTATAAAGCAGGAAAAAACTAATCTAAACTGAACCATGCAATTTTCATTCATTAACCCTCTAATTAAGTATCTGGTAAATTGTTTTCCTAAATTTTCCATAATCTAACGCAAAAATATCACACTCGTTTCTTACTTCATTATACAGCCTGCACATCGCTATAATGGGAGAATTGTAATGTTAATTTGTTCTTACATTATTTATATAAAATGTTAGTAAGTCCCTTGTCCTATAGGATGGTACCTACACAAAAATTTTGTTGACTTAACAAACCTGGATCGCAAACCAACCCATGTATAAAAAAAAATAGCAGTCTATACAGAAACATCAAAGCAGCAGCTTTTCTACGTATATCCAAAGATCCAATGTTGAGAGAGTCCATGACTTGCTTAGCTATATGTAACTCATATATCCCCGTTTTCTTATAGTGAATATATCTTAGATATTTATTCTGAATCTTTTCTATTTTGTATTTATGATTATTATAGTATGGGTTCCATATAACTGAACAATACTCTAAAATGCTCCTTCCATAGGATACATATAATATTCTGATACACTCTACATTGCGAATATCTAGGTGATATATAGACTACAAAAACGTATATATGTGAATGATCATTTACATACAGCTTTATACCTACCATATCTATGTCAGGATACTTATAATCTAGTTTTAGCAATAGGCACTTATAGGTTCCCTTTACTGCAACTAATAAACCTCCACCACGCCAATTCTCACATCCTTTTCGATTCTTGAAAACAACAAAAGGACCCCAACAAAATTATCTGGAAAAAGTTCACTATCGTATACAGTATCCGAAAGCCAGGTTTCTGTTAGGGTGATGAGGTCGTACTCGTTACTCGTTCTCAGTCAATTGTACTGCATGATGAAAATCCTTGGTCTTGCTGTTCAGGCCTCGTACATTTTGGTAAGGTAATAGGTATACTAAATTCTAAGTCAGTTCCTGTTTCGTCATTCACACTCACATTCACTTTATCACCGTCTTGACCACTGTCGTACCCATCAATGTTGATATCCCTTATAAAAAAGACTCAGGATTGGAACTGGTGTAATTAGTATAGTTCTGTAGCCTCTGGATTCGTTGTACATAAATTGGACAATTGGGATCACGACTGAATGATTTCTTCATTCTAACTTAGATCTTTTGCAATTGGGACAATCATATTTAGTAGAACTACATTCTTGGGATTCATGGGGATCTCCACACTTGTGGCAACATTCGGTGGCTGCGCAATACTTTGCAACATGTCCAAATAGGCAGCATTTGAAGTATATAGAAACATTCAGTGACATAAGCCGGGCAGAGGTCAAACCTCCGGTTATTGTTCCTGATAAGCCATTTAAACACTTCAGGAGAAGTTTGATAAACCCAATTTTCTTTCATGTTATTTCTACATTCCCTTTTAGTAATAAATTTGAATGATTTTTCAATATCTACACCAATCAATAATTGTGACATATTATTTTCACTGACAAATTCCTCGATAAAGTTCTCAGGTGTATATCCTTTTAGTATACCAGTTATCATTATCATTGGGTCCATATTTCTCATATTTTTATCCTCGACATTCTTGTTCGAATTGGCTAAACTTTCGCTTAGTATTTTCTGTTGTTCTTCATTCTGATATTCAATAATAACACCCCCATTCTGTAACTGCTTTACTTTTTTAAAACTATATCAGTCATGTTAGCTGATTTCATATTTGTTTTTATTACCTGCACTAACACTTTTGAGTCATTTTGCCCTTTGATTTTGACTAAACTCTCGTGCTTGGGTTTTGTTGGAGGAGGAGTTTTCCAGTTGGTTGTATCTGTTGAAGATGCAGGATTATTGCTAGCAGGTGCATATTTTAGTATACATTGCTGTAAGAAGGTTTGGCACTCTGTGATAACTGGGGCTCATGAGGCCGGTTTTGTACTAAGCTCAAGGGCGATTCTGTTGTTGAATGCGATAGTTCAAATCAAAATTAATTTTTTCTGTTTGTCCAATGATTGTGAATCACAAACAGGGCAGACTGAATATCTTGCCTGTGCCCTGACGCGTCCAGTTCAATTAAGTTTTGTATGCTTTCATTTCAAGCGAATCTAGAATTGTATTTAGCATTGTTTCTGTTGATTTAGCTGTAATAGAGTTTACTCTTTCATGAGATTCCTGGGGATTATGTTTCTTAATTTTGTTTTTATCTAGGATAGAGGGGCATGAACTAGAGCGAGGTCTTTTCTGAGAATTCATGTGATCCAAGAATATAGATTCATTCGCAGACACTTCATTATCAATTTCACTGTTTTCCTGTGATTTTGGTGGAGCTATAAGATTTAGATTTTGATTATTCCTGGCTTTTGATTGGATAAGTTTTATTTCCCAGAAACTACTCAAGCAAATTAAATTAAACTAACCCAATCAAGAGCCGGTAATGATTATAGGTTGAATTTTGAATTACAAGATTCAGATTTTGATTATTCCTGGTTTTTAATTGGATACCTTTTTTTTCCCTTGAAACCACTCAATCAAATTGAACTAAACTAACCTAATCAAGAGGCGGTAATATTCAAAAAATAATTTTGAGTTACCTATAAGAATTAGATTTTGATTATTCCTGACTTTTGATTGGATAAGTTTTATTTCCCCGAAACTACTCAATCAAATTAAACTAAACTAACCCAATCAAAAGCCGGTAATATTCAGAAGTTGAATTTTGAGTTACCTATAGGATTCAGATTTTGATTATTCCTGGAATTGGATAAGTTTTATTTCCCCGAAACTATTCACTCAAATTGAACCAAACTTCAAGAGTATACATATTGGAATTTCAACTGCAATTGTTACTTTTGAGTAAAAGTTGAATCCATGAAAACGCTAAGTAACTTACCAAAAATGAAGAACGTTTTAAACTGCACTATTTATTTAAGGTTTAGGACTTTCCATCACAGACAGACAAAAGCTGATATCCGACATCAACATAGTATTGCACGTGGCAGCTACAGTTAATTTTAACGAGCAGATACAATTGGCATATAACATAAACGTAAATGGAGTTAGGGATGTATTAAATTTATCAAGAGAAATGAGAAATCTCAAGGTAGGTAAAACTGTCCTTTAATAAAAGAACATTCAATTGATATAATTTTTTTAGTCTGTCGTTCATGTATCAACCGCATACTCAAACTGCCAGCGAACGCAAATTGACGAAAAAATCTACGATCATCCCCTGAAATGTTCCAGCATCGAAGCTGTCCTGGAAAAAATGACCGAACATGAAACAAACATGTGTACTAAACAGTAGGTTGATGACTTAGTTAATATATTCAATAAATAATGAATGTTTTCTTTTTTAAAGAATCTTGGGAGATTGGCCAAACACTTACACGTTCACTAAAGCCTTGGCCGAATCTGCAATAAAAGATTTGGCCGGTGACTTACCGATTGGAATTTTCAGACCTGGAATTGGTAAGTAATCGAAAATTATTCATGGAATAAGAGGCTCTTAGAGATGTAACTCAGACGTTTCACTTCACTAAAAATTCTATCGAATTCGGTGATTATCTCAAACAAGTAGGTACAGACTCCCCAAAATGCTATATCGATTTAATTATTCTGGACCTACCTAAGTCTTCTTTGAATCTCAAAATCATATCTCTCTTTTTTTCTTATCTATATGGCAAAATCTTATTTTTGGCTCTAGAAAATATTCAAAATCTTGACATAGTCATGAGAAATTGCCCATATCTTGGTTAAATTTGAAACAAATTGAAGTAAATTATATACCGTTGGAAAGAGCATCAAATTCTCTATAAATCTGTGCATAATAAAGTTTAATAGCTTAAATAGTTTTTGAGCAATAAAGCCTCAAAGTTGATTTTTAATCCAAATTTTCTCAAAAACTTCAAACTCAATTTGCTCAAAAACTATATGTAAACCTGGGTATGTTGTAAATTACAGCTCTTTTAGAGCTTGAAAAGAGCTATAAATGCTGGAAATTTCAATTCAATTTGTCCAACGGTTACCGAGCAATCGAGGTTTGAAGATTTTGAAATCAAAATTCAAAGGGGGTACCTTTATGAAAAATTCGATTTTTTTATTTTTTAGTTTTGCTCAATTTTGACTTCGCTAATCGATAGAGCGGGTCTAAATTAGTGAAAAACAACCCTAATATCATTTTCAAATGGCAATTTTAAGGAGGAAAAAAATTATAGAGAGAATTTCATACATCTGTCAAAACTGGTATTCTAACAATAAATTGACATGTTTTGATTGTTGATTTGAACCAATCAGATTGTAATTATTCGATAATTTGCACTAGTGCAAATTATCAGATAATTGCATACTAACTGGTGCGAAAACTGGTGTTTTGACATTTTTTGACAAAAAATTCAAATTTTTGATTTATGAAATTCTCTCATTAAATACAACTCGTGCAATGGAAATATATTTATAATTTTCGACAAATTTGCACTCATGCGTTTTTAACTGAAAAAGGCACTCGTGCACTACGTGCACTCGCATTGGGGCAAATTTCCCAAAAATTATCAATAATTTCCATTGCACTATTACTATTGAAAATCTTATTTTTGGCTCTAAAATATATTCAAAATCTTAATATGGTCATGAGAAATTGCCCATATCTTGATTAAATTTCCAGCAAATTGAAAAAAATTATATACCGTTGGAAAGAGCATTAAATTCTCTATAAATCTGTGCAAAATAAGGTTCAATAGCTCATATAGTTTTTGAGCAATTAGGCCTCAAAGTTGATTTTTAATCCAAATTTTGTCAAAAATTTCAAACTCAATTTGCTCAAAAACTATAAGCCTAGGAATATTGGAAATTACAGATCTTTTAGAGCTTGAAAAGAGCTACAAATGCTAGAAATTTTAATTCAATTTGCCCAACGGCTACCGAGCAATTTAGGTTTGAAGATTTTGAAATCAAAATTGTATTAGCCGTATGAAAAAATCGAAATAATTTTTTAGTTTTGTTAAATTTTGACTTTTCCAATCAATAGAGCGGGTAATTTATACATCATTGAAAAGAGCATTAAATTCTCTATAAATCTATGCAAAATAGAGTTAAGTACTTTAGAGTCCAAATTTTGTTTAAAACTTCAAACTCAATTTGCTTAAAAACTAGATCAGAAAACGAATTTCCCATAAATCCTTTTGAAATCAAATATTCAACCTTGATATATTGGCGACAAACCTTTAGTTAAATGACTGCTTTGTATTTTTGGCCCTCGTTCACTTTCAATATAATTTGTATCGATGTCTATTGGAAATTTATCTCAAGAAATCTTCATTCAATTTTTATTTCAAGATTGGAAGTTTTTGGTTACAACTTATAGGGATAAAATTTAAACACTTTGAAGATTTTTACATAAGAAATATTGTTTATTTTAGTTGTCTCAACCTACAAAGAACCAGTGCCAGGTTGGATAGACAATCTTTACGGTCCCACTGGAGTAGCAGTTGGTACAATTTCCGGAGTACTCAGAGTGTTTCCTTGCGATCCACACAAAACTGCTGAGCTAGTACCAGTAGATACTTGCGTTGCAGGTTTAGTGGCGGCTGCTTGGGATGTTGCTGAGAGAAAAGAAGAAAGGTAATAACTGATAGTAGGTCCTAAAACTTTAGCTATAATAGAGTATGTATATAAAACATCTTGCCTCTCTTTCTTTTAATCACAAATTTATATTGACAATAATTATTCCAGGTCGGCTGAAAATATCCCAGTCTACAACTACGTATCGTCTCCAGAAAATCCGATTTCATGGATGGAATTTGTAAAGCTAAACTACATCCACGGGCCTAGATATACACCATCAAATGCCATTTGGTACCCGTACAGCGTAATAACTACAAATCCAATTTTTTATTGGATACTGAAGCTAGTCTTGCACATTCTACCTGCTATTTTTTTGGATTTGGGCGCTTTATTAACTGGAGGAAAAGCAAGGTGAGACATTATAAATCGATTTTTTTTTAAAGTATAATTTAATGAATAATTTTTTTTTTAAAGGATGTTAGGATTGTACAAAAAAATCCACACGTTTACGGAAGTCCTGCAGTGGTTCTCCACAAGAGAATGGCAGTTTAGTAATAAAAATACACAAAACTTATGGAGGAAAATGAATAAAACTGACCAAGAGCTGTTTCCGATGAGCATAACTACAGTATCCTGGCTCATATTTTATAGAAATTATGTTAAAGGTGTCAGGAAATACTTGTTAAAGGAATCTGATTCCAGCTTGGTTGACTCAAGGGCTAAAACTAGGAGGTAAGAATCTGTTTAGATAAAGATATTATAAAACTAATTATTTTTTTCTAGATTCAGAATAGCTCATAAAACTCTTACATTTATTACCATGGGAATCGCAAGCACGTTTGTGTTTTCGTTAATCAGCCGAATGATTAATTTCATTTTTGGTTAGTTAGTTTATATCAAATTGTACTTTTATATTTTTGATATTATAAGTAATAACTATTTGCCATTGTCAAAACTTGTATGTGTATAAAGTAGGTGAACCAATTAATTGAATATTGTGATATTTGCTAATTTTATTATGGGATTGGGTTCATGCAACCTTACAATCGATTAAATAGTATTAAGTTTATACTTTGATGAAAAAAATAACATGGTGAGTTAGCAATAATATTGTTTGGGTTAACTTATTGGTGAAATTAGATGTAAAATAATCACATTTGATGTTGACTGTAATTGATTTCTGTGTCTACTCGTGTGAATCTGCTTTTTTTGCTCTGTCCTAATAAAGCTTCTGTATGTACATAATGGTAGATTAATAAATGACCATAAAATAAATCGTGCTTATATTGTTTCATTTTTGTATGAAAAGTGTCCCAGAAAATGTACCTATTACTGACATTGGTAGTGATAAGTAATGTAGAACTTCAATCTACTCGTACTTGACATTATAACTAAATGAAAAACGAGTAGATTGTTCTGAAAGTAGCTCAGTTCACTTGTGTCAGAGTTTGAGAACTAAGGAGTAAATTGAAAACAAATAATGCATTCCCGCGCAACACGTTTAGCTAAATTTTCCCAGAGACATCAGGCCAATAATTATCCCTAATATTAGCTAATAGTGCTTGAGGTCCACAATGCAAATGGTTATAATGATAATGAAAATAAGATGTGTAAAATGATGCTTTGGTGATAAAACAATGGGATGCTTCTTTCCATATCAAAAACATGAATGTTTAGGACGGCCTCCAACTCTTATATTATTGTTATCAAGAAATGGAGATAAAAAGCTTGCCTTTGGAAATGACTGAAGATTTCGAAAGTTCCTTATGAGCTCTTCTGGAAAAGACTACTCTTCTGAGCAAGTTTAATAAATTTTTCCATAGACTGATTTAACTATGTCATTTTCCAATTAAACCATGCTCTGAAGGACCTGGTTTTCGACTTTCTGGCAATTCTGTTAAGGCTATTGGATTCTGAATGGAAATATCAACTGGCCTGATGATCTACATAGCCATGAAGGATAATGAAACCAAATATTAAATTCCTTTAAGTTTTTTTGCAGAAATGCCTTGAGGCAAAATATCGGCTGGATTTGAATTCGTAGGAATATATCGCCATTATGAAACATCTGTTAATTTTTGAATTTCTGAAACACGATTACCAACAAAAACCTGTAAACTATGAGGTGACGATCTGTCTACTGTGCTACTGTCGAATCTGAGCATGAAAAACTTGAATAAAATGAAATTGTTTAAGAATTTTGTACCTTTTCAAATAATTATGTAAGAAGAAGGAAAGCATATATTTCCAATCTAGAAATACTAACAGATTTCAAAGGACTTACTCGAGTTTTTGAAGTCAACTGATAACTGATGTAACCAAAGAGACTGCAAAAGAATTTTTGCTCTGACAACAACTGGACTTATTAATCCCAAAGGATCAAATAGCTCTGCAATTTCTGATAACATTACACGTTCAGTTAATTTCTTGTTACTATCCAGAAGTGAAATTTGGTAGGAAAAACAATCATCATTGGAAGATCAAACCATACCCAAAATTTTACTAACTTCTGGCTCAGTAAAGTAAAGAACTTCTGAGTCTGAAATTGAAGTTCTAATACCTGCTAGAATTTCATTGATTCAGATTTCAGAATTATTGAAACATCCTTCAATTTTCAGAACTGTTTTGCTAATTGTTTAAGACACCTTGTACTCCTTGTAGCCAAAAAGGGTGCTCTGGCTGTTCCATATGTTACTGTGTTCAGTGAAAATACTTGAGAACTTTCAGGATCAGACCGCCAGAAAATTAGCTGCAAGGGCTTGTATTGATCATCAACCCAAATTTGACGATAAATTTTACATATATCACCAGATATAACATAAGAATGATGTCGGAATATAGTAAGAATAGAATAAAAATCATCTGTACATTATTAGGTCGGACCATCTGTATGGAGTTGTATGATTTTCCAGAAGAAGAAATAGCCGAACAATTGAAAACAACGCGCAATTTTGTTGTTTTATCTTTCTCTGATGAGGACACCATGATAGGGGGAAAATAAGATAGGTACTTCATTTTTATTCAACTTATGAGGAGACATATGAGATACCTAGATCTTTCACGCATGAAGTTATCATAACATTTGTTTAAGTCTGGGGTTTGACTTCAACCTACGTTCCAATTTGGAAAATTGACTTTTTGCCACTTGTTTCGAATTTTCAAGAACACCAGCAGGTCCCTTCAAAGGCACTGAAACAATAAATCTAACATTCGCATCTCGCCTATTGTGTTTCAGCTAACGTTTCTTCTTTTGATAACAAAGGTTTGCATGATATTTCCTCTAACTCTCAAAACTTTCTTAACTGATCTTGAATTTCCGAATTTCGATTGAAGTGACAAGAAGTAATATTTTGAATTGGGGTTCCTAAAGGACCAGAAATCACCCAACTTAACTTTGTCTTTCGAATTATTGCTTTATTTGTGCCTAAACGAATCGAATTATTTAATAAAAGATCCCAAAACATAGACGCGCCAATCAAAATACCGATTATATCTGGCCGACTAATATTTGGATCCTCGAAATGAATATATAGCTTGGAATTATTACACTTGATGGATCAAAATATACACCTGAAAGGTTACCTGTAATCTCAGGAATAACCAAGCAATGAAGATTAGCTGAAAACTTCCCATTGCGTGAAATAAATCTTGCAGGATGTGTTGATAATTGATTCAGAAGTGTCATGTATCATGTCTTGCCAAGTCCGCAACCAACAGTTGATAATGTCATGCCTGGGTCTAGGCAACGTAATAATACTTTTAATGTCAGTAGTCTGTCACGACCTACTCATTAAATATAAAAACAGATAATTCTCTGCCTGTATTTATTTAATCTTGGCTCAACTCAACCAAACACTACATGGTGGCAGCGCGTGAAAGCGTTTCTTAGTTGTGGAAAAAATGACAGGCGTGATTAAGTGCTGGGGTTGTAAGTTGGAGCTTCACCACGACAGCTATTGTGAAATACAAACCAAGGACATCTGTGCAAGTGCCAGGACATCTGTGCAAAAGTGAACGACCACACTAAGCTGTATGAAAAAGCAGGAGAACAATGTCGGACACATGAACTCAGCTTCCCAGGTGATTTAACTTCACATTGGAAATTATGGGAGCAGAAGTTCGAAAACTATATTTTAGCTAGCGGAAAATCGCAAAAAGGTGATGAAGTAAAGATCGCAATCTTACTTAATTCAATTGGAGATCAGGGACTCCCAATTTATAATACTTTTGAATACTCTGTAACAGAGGATAAAACTAATTTTTTTACTGTTTTGGAAAAGTTTGATGCTTATTGTAACCCTGTTAAAAACCTTGTTTACGAATACTTTAAGTTCTTTAGGAAGGACCAGCAACAAACAGAGATTTGGCCCAGCCCTGAGACAGGTTGCTTCAACTTGTGAATTCAAGGAAACTGATGTGTTGATCCGAGATAGACTTGTTTTGGGTATTAAAGATAGCAGAATCCAGGAAAGACTTTTGCAGGAATCTGATTTTAAACTGGCTGACAGCAATTAACACTTGTCGGTCGATGGAAGCTAGTGTAGCTACTCAAAAAGTAATTTATCAAGATCAAGATCAAGCTGTCCACGCTGTGAAATTCAGGAAGTATAAACAAGGGTCAGGAAATTCTGAAGGTCAATATTACAAATCATCAACACCTGGATATGCTCAGTAGTCTCAAGAAAAAGCTGGTCCATCCAACTATGAGAAAAAATTTTAGGATCAAAACGCGTTCAAAGTGTGGATAAGGGCATGCAAAAAGATAATGTTCAGTATATAACCGCGTCTGCTCAAAATGTCATCGTAAAGGCCATTATTGGAAATTCTGTAGCAGAAAGCAGAAAGTATCAAGTCGATGTAGAAAGTGATACTTATAACACAGACTCAGACAGTGAAAAATCTGATTTCTCAGTTAGTGATGATGTGGTTTAGACTGTAATAAACCATAATGTAAATGCGGTGGAATGGTTCGAAACCTTAATTATTGAACAGTGTCAATTAAGCCTAAAAATTGATACTGAAAGCCAAATTAACATTTTAACTTACAAAGACTTCATCTGTTTTGCTGTCATATACGGGACACAAGATAGATACTTTGGACTAAATAAATTTGCTTTGTGATTTCGCCAAACAGTCATTAGAACTATCGTTTCATGTATTAAACAGTGGTCAACCAGCTTCTTCTATCCTAGGGTTGGAGGGTGCCAAACTTTTGAAAATTGTAAATAACACTTGTGAAATTACCTCCCCGAATGAAGTATTCAAACTAGGAAATCTGAAACAAATTCTTGATGAACAGTGTTTTCAGTGGAATTGGAAAAGTTAACAAAAACTATAAAATATAACATTAACAGGCAATTTTGAGCCTAAAGTATGTGCTGTAAGTACGCAAGATTCCACTATCGCTTAAGGATAAGGTAAAACAAAAGCTGCATCAAATGGTAAGTGAAAAACTTATTGTACCTATTACTGAACCAACAAGTTGGGTGCACCCTAATTATCATAGTGCCAAAGTCTAATGGTAATGGTGATATTAGAATTTGCATGGACCCTAGAGTATTGAACGTGTACGTAAAGCGCGAGAACTTTCATATTCCTACTATTGACGCTCTGTTTGGTGAACTTCATAACGCAAAGTATTTTATTTTACTTGATGCTTTTCAAGCCTTTTTACAAATACCATTAGACTATGATAGTTCCAAAATGTGCACGATAGCTACGCCTTGGGGCAGGTACCGTTACGTTCGTTTACCATATGGTATTTGTTCGGCGCCCGAAATTTTTCAACGATTCCTTTATGAGACTTTGGAGGGTGTTAGCGTATATTATTTTCTCGTTTTTGGTTCTTCATTGGAAGAACATAATCAAAATTTAGACAATTTTCTAATTAAAATAGCAAAAAGTGGACTACCTAACTTTAAATTTAGAAAAATCAAAATTTTGTCAAAAAACAGTTAAATTTCTTGGACACACAATAAGGGAAAGTGGGGTTTCGCCGGATAATAATAAAACCCAAGCAATGAAAAACATGAAACCGCCAGAAAATAAGAAAGACTAGCAACGGTTCTTGGGTATGATTACTTATGTTGCGAAGTTTATCTCTAATCTTTCGCAAGAGACGGGACCGTTAAGAAAACTCTTAAGTGCTAAAAATGAATGGCAGTCAGTGGTCAGAAAATGAACATCTATCTTTCGATCGTCTAAAAAACCTAGCAATTTCCGCGCCAGTTTTAGCATTTTTTGATCCCCAGAAAGAGACAATATTATCCGTGGACGCCAGCCCTTATGGCCTAGGCGCTGTAATCATGCAAGATAATCATCCAATTGAGTTTGCTTCCGTTTCTTTAACTCAAACTCAACAAAGGTACAACCACATCGAAGAGGAATTGCCTGCCCTAGTTTTTGGCTGTGAAAGGTTCCATTTCTATCTCTACGGAAATAAATTTCGACTTCAAACTGGATCAACTTTTGAAGGCTATTTCTGAAGATTTCATTATGCAAAAAATTAAAAATTTCTCGATTTTGGGATGGCCCGAGCAAAAAATCTCTTTGAAATCTCTAGAATTAAAATCATGTTGGTCCATATGCAATGAAATTTATCTGCATAAAAATATTTTGTTGTACAAAAAACGAATTTCAATTCCATATGTCTTTAGACCTGAAATATTAGAATTTTTACATCGTAGTCATCAAGGAGTAGTGTCTGGCAAAAAACTTGCTCAAGAAACGGTTTACTGGCCGGAAATCACTACAGCCATAGAAGATACAGTTCTGAGTTAGGTACCAGATTTGTCAAGAATATTCTCGCAGTACCTAATCAAAAAGAGCCCTTGATCCCACATAAAGTTCCAAAATTACCATGGGAAAAATCTCACAAGGGTAATGATTTTCTCGTAATCTGTGATTACTTTAGTAAATTCATTATAGTCAACAAAATTCCAAACAAAACAGCTGCAACAATCCATTTCCTCATTGAAAAATGTATTTAAACTAAATGGCTTACCTCTGGAAATATTCTCCGACAACGGACGACAACTCTATAGAATTTTCTAATTTTGGCTCAAGATATGATATAGTTCTCAAAACTTCAAGTCCAGAGTACTCTCAGAGCAATGAAATGGTTGAGCGATCAATACAAACAGTAAAAGGTCTTCTATAATAGTAAAAGCGTTGAACTTTAAGCAGGACCGCTTCTTAGCGGTGTTGGATTATAACGCAACTCCTAAGCAAGCTCCGTGTGAGTTCCTAATGGGCGGAAAATTGAGGACCACGTTTCCAGTTACACGAAGTCTCCCTAAACTGAAATTTTCGACAAAAGGCATTAAGGAAAAATTGTAGTACCGGCAAAAATAACAAAAATTGCACCATGACCAACATGCGAAAAAACTGCCTGATTTACATCTAAATGAAAAAGTCTTGATTCAACATGGTATTCGTGACTGGAAACCAGCTGTTATCATTTCTAAAGCAGACCATGTTCGAAGTGAGCAAGGTGCTGAATATAGAAGGAACCGCATTCACCTTAAGACTCTCAAAACAATGGGAAGAAATAGAAGCGGAAGATAGTTACAATAACTCTAAGGTCCTTGATCCGATAGTTCCTGAGAATGATGTTCAAGTCAAGCATTCTAGTAAGCCTTCATCAGAGACATCGCCAAAAGTTGAATTTCCTGTAGACCCCATAGGAAATGATATTCCCTTGGATATTCCCAAAACAAGAAGTGGTCGGTTAATTAAGCGTCCTGAAAAACTGAACTTGTGAAATATGTGCTAATATGTTTAGATAATATATCAATATTTGTAGTTGAATTTTTGCCCTTCTATTTTCGCTTATGTTACCATTTTTGTTATGGTAATGATCTTGGGTTTAGCTTTTTCCCTATTACCTTTTTTCTTTAATGAGGGGCGTGTTATGTATCATGTCTTGCCCAGTCCGCAACCAACAGTTGATAATGTCATGCCTGGGTCTAGGCAACGTAATAATACTTTTATTGTCAGTAGTCTGTCACGACCTTGTGTGTGTAGATAATTCTCTGCCTGTATTTATTTAATCTTAGTTCAACTCAACCAAATATTATAAGAAGGACCAATTCTAACAACAGAAATGTTGACCTTCTCTTGAGATAAATCCAAACTCACAAAGTCTTGAGAAATAAAGCTTGATATCGAGGCATTGTCCAATAGCGCCCTGGCTATATGTAACTTGCCATGCTTATCACTCACGACTAGCGCAGTTGCAAGAAGAACTTGGCCCTTTGATAATTGATTAGAACAGCATGTATTGATCTGAAGCCTGAAACGACTGTGCATTTGGAACTTCAAGTGCCACTAGATTGGATTTTTTCTCGATACCTGCAGGGTGCAACAAGAAATTATATGTTTAAGATCTAACAGTGTCATTACTTAAGTGTGCAACATATGGGATTTTTTTTTAGTAATAGCACAATCAAAATACAAACAAGGCTAAAAGTTGGTGCATGTCTGATAATCATATTAGGTGCACTTAGAATGGTTGCAAGTCAAACAGAATACAGGGTAGCTCAAAAAATATCAAAATTGTAGTAATATTTACTTAAATAAAATAAAACTTTTGCACTTTAAGGAGAATTTTTTTAATATGGCTATTATGATTAGTAATGTTTTACCTTGTTAAAAAAAAAATTGCGGCATTTTAAAGTTACCTATGTTGAATATCATTGCAACAAACATGAATTTTGTGATTCCATAAAAAATCAAAAATCTAAGTTAATTTTATAAATATGCTCGAATTTGGATAAAGTTATGTAAAATTGATTTGATTTTAATTAATTTTTGAAAGTATGAAGGGCGGAATTGAAAAATAAAAAAAATATATAAATTATAGATTTTTTTCGAAAAAAAAAAGGCTATGTTTTGGTATTTAGGCATAACTTTTAATTCCAAACAACTTTTCTCTATAACATTTTGCTGAATTTTCTAAAATAAGGGTACTTCACAGTATAATTTTGATATTGTTTGACCTACCCTGTATGCTGTTTGACTTACAACTATTCTAAGTGCACCTAATATGATTATCAGACATGCACCAACTTTTGGCCTTGTTTGTATTTGGGTTGTGCTATTACTAAAAAAAATTTCCATATGTTGCACACTTAAAAAATCACACTGTATAAAGGCACTGCATTTATAAAGGAAATAAAACTGTTTACAATAAGGGCATGAAATCTTAGGTTTTTTGTCATTGTCGTAAACTTTTTCGAATTCTACAAAAGTTTGAAGTTAGATTATAATGGGATCCTAAGAATTAACTTGAACACCCAAAGTATTAAGACATTTTGAATTTTTTGTCAAAGTATCTACCAAATCTCTAAAAGCCAATGGTGAATCTGAGCCAACATGTTTTATATTGAGAAGAGCCTTAATATAATTATGTACCTACCTTTAAGCCTTTATTTTCGAAACGAGCACATAAGATATCTCATGCTAAGCCATCATTTTCTGCACAGAAATTAACTGATTCTATGCCACGAGCAGCGGATCCCTCAAGGGACGACCTCAAATAATGAAATTTGTCAATGGTACCTATCAATATATTGACATTCATGCACTAAAGGAATATATAAATCAAGAAATTCAAGCCAAAGCTCATACTAGGGTTGCCAGATACTTGAGTTTTGAAAATAGGAGACCCTGTATAAAATTATATGAGATTGGATAATGATACCTATATGAGAATATTTTATGTACTGCAAAATGCCCAAATCCGAAAAAGCTCCTATCAGATTTTGGAATGTATTGCTGGACATTCTTTTAGGTAGGTAGTTAGATAGGTACGCCTCCTGATCCGTTAGACCGTGAGACTCATTTCTTGTAACAAGTCGTGGACAACACCTTGAGTTTTTTGATGTTTAAACAAATCCCTGACCCAAAATCGTTTTGTTATTATTTCAATTTTGTCCGACGTCAGAAAAAAGTTGAAAATATTTGGATAAAAAGTGGCGGGAAATTTTTCAGCCAATAGGAGCTCGGTCGTACCATTGGACAGTCGGGGTCGGATAACGGACGCATGACACTCCACTCCGGTCATTCACGTGTACGGTAGTGATATACATGGTTTCTTTTTTTTTTTTGGGAAAATATATGAGGAATAGTCTCATATTAAACTTGCTAAAAAGAGAGATGAGAAACAGTTAAAATATATGAGTCTCATATTAAAAATAGGAGGTCTGGCAACCCTAGCTCATACACTTGTAAGGTTATATTAGGTAATTCAATGATTAGGCCATTTGGCTCCTGGTTTTCGGAATACACCCGACTGAAATTTGTATAGGGATATATTAAACTGAAATTTTATGAGTTGCTTAACTTTAAATGGCTCGGGAGTCGCAAATTACGTTGAAGAATCGGACCCAGAACTGACTAATATAATAGTTATTTATGATATAAGTGTTAAAAATACTTTTAACACAAATATCATACAATATTTTTTCTACAAACGGCAATAACAAGCAATAACCAGTGACAAATTGGATTTTTAAATGAATAATAAATTGGAAGCATCTTTCCTACGTAAAATTATTGAATTTGATATTTGTCAAAAAATTCAAACAACCAGCACCTTGTTTTACAGGTAATGAAATGTCTTGTCAGTTTCTTGAAAGTCTGTCGTGGTCAGTAAGCTTTTTGCTAAAAATGCAACAAATACACAAGAAAAAGAGGGTTGCATCAATTTCTTGAAAAATATAGAGGAGGCGGCCGATGGAGCTTCCTCAGTTGTACAAATTTTACCACTAATATTAATGTAAATAATTAAAAATACAAATTTTTTTTGACGTTTGCTTTCAAATTTTGATGTTTCATTTATAACACTAGTGCCTTAAAGACTTTTAACACTAGTGCAATAAAGTAACATTTTTAATGCTTCGAGGGGGTGTTAAAAATTGCATTTTTAACACGTTTGTAGAAAAAGTTAATTTGACAACTATTCTAACAATTTCCGTAACTATAAGCTCTATTTGAACAGGTACCTATTTCACACATTTAGGTCCGCAGAATTGAAAATAGTTTCTTTCAATAAGACTTATCATATTGTTGCTACATATACCATATTTATACGACTAAGCAATTTCGAAAAAGAACAATCGCTTTGATTAAATTGTTAATCATTCACGCGAAACGTTATGGGCGGCAATTCTGGCTAATAACCAAAGCTAAAGCTAAATTGCGGCAAAACAAAATGATTAATTTTATAGGCAAAAGTTCGAATCATTCCGCAACAATTGTATCAATTGAATTTTCAATAAGCACTCGTGTCGCGAGAGAGGATCAATAATGTACAAGTTGTGATCGAGTATAGTTGCACTGATCAATAGAATCTTGGATTGTCGTTTAGGTTTCTATAATTAAATTTCAGGTATGTTTATAAGCTAGTGTGTAACCTCTTGCAAATACATAGTTGACTTCTTATTTTACAATTTAAAAAGTTTATATATTATTGCAACTGACTGTCAAAATACCGCAACTCAAAAACTATACCAGTTTCCGGTCGTCCCGAAGTTGCAGCAACGTTGTATAGGGCAACGTCTTTCGAACGTTTCTTTGCCACTTGGGTCATCCAACAACCAATAATTATTAATAAAACATTTCAACTTATTACATACATACCTATACATTAGCAACTTTGAAAGATAACAAGAAAAGAATTCATCAAAGTTTCAGGGTTGACATGAATTAATACCAATTTAGATTAAATAGGTATTTTTAAAAAAATTCTAATCTAAGGTAAACTAAGTACATACATAAAAACGAGTCACTAAAACGATTGAAAATTTTATTGAATATATAAGTAGATAGATATACGTTCATTAGTAATATTTTGCAATCAACATTATGGTTTCGAAACCAAAATATTTGTTTTTTATTTCGGAAATTCCATACGCGGACAAATATTATTTGAATTAATTTTATCTTATTTGTTTCAGATCTATACCTTGGCCTGTAGTAGGTACCATCACGTATGGTACCGCACAATTCAGTTTGTAGCAGGCCAGCTTTGTACCGGATGGTATAGCCAAAGAGTGAACGGTGCATGATTGATTGTGAAATAGTGTTTAGGTTAAATTTTATTCCTGTGAAATTTTTATCAAGTTTGTCAATTTATTATTATAATAATCATGGACGAAGGAATGAACAATAGAAGAAGGCAAGGAAAATCTGTTACACGACAGGTAAGCAAAAACTATGTACTTTATCATAATAAGGTCTTAAATAGGAATCATTAATAAGACATTGAAATTTGTAGAAAGTTATACTTAAGTGATTTTGATTATTCATTCAATTTTACCTTATCTTTTGATTGGTAATAAAGTACTTTTGACAAAATCCACATTTTGGCATCAGAAAGAGGAAAATTGAAGTCTGAGTTTTCATCTACAGTTAACCTAATTGGCATCATTCCTATCCTCACCAAATAATTATTGTGAAATTTCCAATAGTTGTAGAACTAAATTAGGGTTTTAGAGTTACAACTGATCTTGAGAAGCTAAAATGTCTGATGATCGTAGTTTTTTGAGACCAAAAATTGCAGAATTTTTAATTGTTCGTAGTTTCTTTGGGAAAATACAATTTTTGACACCAATGATATCAATATCGATATAATACCTACTTGAAAAAGTATCCACTATGAAATTAGAAGTACTTTTATCTTTTTGCAAAACTTTCCAATTGAAAAATTACATAAATTATTAGTTTATCTATTGATTGACGACTATCATAAAAACATGAATTTACTAGGTACTTATTGTATTATGTATTGGATGTTGCGAAGGTCAACTATGGAGATTAAACAAGTAGGCATTTCAATAAATTTAAATTAAAATGTACATATAATAGGAACAATAAATAACGAAAAAAACTGTATAACATGTTCATGACTAATTCAAAATAGTGTCAATAAACTTATTGTAAAACTAATTAATTACTAAAAATTAGAAATCATGTTAAATACAGTGTAAACAGCATAATATGTAAATAGATTTTTTATGTATTGATAAGTATCTACTACCTACATTATTTAATAAATTATAAGGCACCTACATGGGTAATTTTAACTGATATTTATGATAAATTTAATAATCTATTTTCTTTTGTATAAAAGAAGGTTTAAATATGCAAACAGATAAGTAGAATCATTAGGGTTTTTTGAGAAATAGGCATCACTTTTAGGTTTTTTCACTCATAAACGAATTTGAACTAGTTTTTTTTTCTCTTTACTTTTGAAAATATATTTTTACATCCATAGTTCAGGAGAGCTGTCTCTGTGTTTCTTGTTTCTTCTGGAAAAAAAATATTTTTTTATTTGATTTACATCAACCTTTAACAAACTAGAGGGCACCACACACTATACGTTCTGTCTCGTCGGTTTTCATCGTCGCGATTAATAACGTCGTGTTTCATCGCCGTCAGCCTGTTTTCACTACACACTATGCGATTTTTTGGCAGTTGTTGAACCCACATACAACGATTTTGGAACGAAATGTTGAACCATCGTACCAAAAATCAAGCTCGGACTGAATTTTAAACCAACGATGAGACACGAGTGCAATTCCCTTCCAATTATTGCACCTCTTGAGCAAGTTCATCTAACCCATTGGCTACCCAAAAGTAAGGTGCATTTTTGGCTGTGCGTACCTAAATTTGAAGACTACCTACTTAATGGTTGGCGACACAATTGACATGATCTCTGAGAAGTATCCAGAAGTTGAACTGTGTGTGGCTGGTGATTTTCAACCTGCCTAAAGCCAGATGGAGTAACGAGGACATAATATGTATGCAGTGGGTATTCCTTGTGATGATGATTAGGTCCCACCTCAAATAATTCAAAAAATTGCTACAATCTCAGATCTTTGTGTTTTTCATAACCTTTTTCAAAATAATTTTATTCATAATGCAAATGGAGTTTTTCTCGATTTAGTTCTGTCCCACAAAACGGTTAGCGTTAATCATTGTATTCCTGTGGTTCTCATTGATAATCATCATCCACCCCTTTGCTTTGACCTGCCTATCCCACAATCATGTTACACATCTGTTGGTACTAGAGCCGATTGCTGTTACCATGCTTTAAATCTGCAGACTTTGTATCAATAAACAATTACTTGGGTGCTTTCTTCTGGGATAATCTGTTATCCAATCTGGATGCAGATTCCATGTTAAACACATTTTATGATATTGTCTATAGTTGCTTTAATCTATTTGTTCCAGTCAAAAAGGTACGTATTTAGTAGAAAGTTTCCTAGGTGGTTCAGTCGATATCTTATAAGAAGTATAAAAGAAGATTGCCCATAAAATGACAAAAACAGTAAATCCGCTCATTGACTATGAAGTTTTTGCCAACCTAAGATCACAGTGTGCAGTCCTTTCCCGGGAATGTTATAGGAGTTTTGTCCAAAACACTGAAAATTACCTTTTCACTAATTCAAAACCATTTTGGAATGTCTGTTATTATAAACGCAATGCGTCTGAGATACCTAATCTACTCACTCTTGATAATAAAAGTGCTTTCATGGATCCAAATGCTACCAACCTGGTTATTTTTTCTCGGTCTACTCTGCCTGTAAACCACAATGCAATCAAAAGTTGTCATTTAATCATATTAATGGTCACAATCACTCCATTTCCATATGTGACATATACACTGAGCTTATTAGCTTGAATCCTCACAAGGGTCCGGGTCCTGATAATATTCATCCTGTCTTTCTTAATAACTGCCCCATTATTCTCGCTAGGCCCCTACACAATGGGCCGTATTCATAAAACTGAAGGATATCCTTGTAAGTATAAGGTAAAAGTATAAGGTTTTGAGTTGAAGAAAAAGGTAGAAGTATAAGCATTTTCTTTTTTTCTTATTCATAATGATTACCTTATACTTGCAAGGATATCCTCCAAGAATAAGTAAAAAGTTCAAAGGTTGAAGTGATAACAAATGTGAGTTCATTTTTCAATGAAGGAGAACAAAAATTCAAATCTCACAATTCCAAAAAGAGAAATTTATTTTTCAATAATCACTCATTAGACTACCATGGTTTGGGGGTTTAAAACTTACACCCCATTTTCAGGTTAAAGGGCTACAAAGAACAATAAAAATAATTTGCTAAAAAAAATCTTCCAAAGGGTACTTACAATTCAGGTTACAAAGTTATGTATAAAAAAAGTGTAAAAAAGTTGTAAAAAAAGGTGTAAAAAATGCAACAACATACAAAAAACAGTTAGGGGACGAATGGCCATACAACAAAACGAAAACTCTATGATGTCAATTACGGCAGTCACTGTACGAGATACTGTAGCTTGACTTACACCCAGTTTTTGACCAATGCCTTTCTGATACCCAGGGTCACTGAGATAACGTAATAATATCTGCATTTTTAGGACGGATGATAGCGCACCTCCTCGAGTTTCAGCATTAATTCCCAAAAATCTGTTGACAAGCCATTGCACATTTTCCTCTTCAAACCGGTCTAGTTCTTTGTAATCACGCACAGGTGTTGATAAACGCTGCTTGTAATTTTTAATTTCTCCCAGTTCCACAACATCTGCCATCGCTACAACTGATCACTACACGACTGAGTCTGCTACTGACCACACTCGAAATTATTGAAGGATATCCTTCTTATTTAGAGTAAAAGGTAACGTTTATGAATAACCAAATACTTTTTGTGAAGGATATGCTCATACTCTATAAGTATAAGGTTTTACTCGGAATATTATGAATGCGAACTGAAGGATTTCCTTCATATTCTGCAAGTATAAGCATAACCTTTTTTTTATGAATACGGCCCATATTTAAGAAATCTTTAGAAAGTCGATCTTTTCCCAAATTCTGGAAAACAAGTTTTGTCGTCCCAATACATAAAAGATTACCGGCCCATTTGCATCATCATGGTATTGATGATGCAAATAAATAGGCTCTAAAATTTTCGATTAACTTGTAACTAAGTAGGTATCTAAGCTCATTGATCTAAGCTCACTAAATGTCTCCTGAAATCATTAACCAGCAGTTTGGCTTTTATGTGGGTAGAAATACTGAACTTAATCTCCTTACCTATTCTCAGTTTGTATTGCAGGCCTTGGAGAGTGAAGCGGAGGTCCATTCCGTCTACACAGGCTTTTGATAAGGCTCCACATAATGTACTGATAGACAAACTTAAAACGATGGGGTATATGAACCCTTACTATGCTGGTTGAACAGCTACCTTTCGAATAGGATTCAAATTGTAAAAATTAAAAACTTCTTGTCTAACGAAATTCCTGTGCCGTTTGGGGTCCCACATCGGACCACTTCTTTTTAATATTTTCATCAATGATGTTGCACCCTGCTTTCAGTCTTCTGAGTTTCTTCTGTTTGCAGACGATCTCAAAATGTATAGAGTAATATCCGATCTTAACGACTGCATTGCTTTGCAGGAGGATATCCACAGATTTGTGGCTTGGTGTCGTGGCAATGGTATGCACTCTAAGTTCAATCTCATGTAATTTTTTCGTCGTACAGTTAAAACTAAATTTTAATTGTCTAATTAATGGAGCAACATTACCATCAGTTGTAAACATAAAGGAAAGGAATTACCTATTCTTGATGATAAGCTATCATTTTCCTTTCACATAACATCAATCATTGGTAAATCACTGAGAATGTTGGGGATTTATTAAACGTAATACTTCTGACTCTGTTACTGTACGTTGTTCCATTAAAATTCCAGTCTTGTTAGAAGTCTCTTGTATTATGCACCTCTGTATGGGACCTTCAGTATGCTTTCCATATCCACAGAACTGAGCAAGTGCAGAAGAAATTTATGCATCATATTCATTTCAAATTTTATAGAGACACTGAATATAATTACAAAGAAATGTGTCATCACTTCAAGAAAGAAGAAGTATTCACATGACCTACTCCTTTTTTCAAAATTCTCATCTCATCCTCACCTACCACCTTTTAATACGAGAAACATCCCAACCTTCTATCAAAGTCTTATCAACCATATTAATATCACCGCACCAACTACGGTCAAAATTCCTTTGCCGTGTCTCTCTCAATCCAACATCCGCTCCTTGATTTTTTTTGTCCACTTCAATCTTTTAGAAAGCACCTGTCACAGTTGAACCTGCTAGATTGTAACTTATAGTATTTTTAAAACCCATTCAGAATAACCCCTGTCCTTATTTATCAATCACGAATCAGATGAAATAAAAAATTACCAAGAAAAACGAACGTCGATTGCTAATAAACGTAAATTTCATGTACATTCGTTTATTATCCAAATGTAATTACCCAGACTTACCAATGCTAACCCAAAGTATTCCAAATTTACCAATACTAGGAAATTCCTACCCTAAGTTTATTTATGTGTTCAAGAAGCGACATACATTAAGTCACTAGAACAACTAATAATTCCAAATAGGTATTAAAAATTCTATATCCGTTAACAGAGTAGCATAGCTCAATTCTTAATTCTTAATTTTTAAAACTTTTTATAAGAATAGTTTACTTACATACATGCACATGGCAAAACCCATTAAATACTTTAGGGGTAATTTACCGGTAGTGACTAGTAGAATCGATGATATATTGTTCATCTTCTGTCAACTCCCAACCACATGTTAGAAAGGGATGAAGGGGTTTCAGTTGTAAAGCACCAAAGGATACCATTGTTTTTAGGGTTGTTGTAATTCCAGATTCTCGAACAACTGCTACCTGCTCACCACCCATTTCATACCGAATTTCGTCGAACAGAAAAGCTAGCGCATTATTGGATAGGTAGCACTTTTTAGTCGGATCTTTCGGCTTAAACTTCCCCTCGATATAGATATAGCTTTCGGATATGTCCAATATTATATCTTGGAAATTAACTGGAATGCGAATTTCATCAGAGTTTTGAAGAACTGGGGAGCCATACGGTTTATATGTATGCTCTTGTAAACTGATAATGGAATTGTCGAGAATCAAACCACAGATTAATTTCAAAAAACTACGATCTTTTGCGGACAGTTATTGCAAATCTATTGTCGGTCTTGAGTTCCAGCTGCGAGGGAATCCTCCCTGGATATATCGCCTATTTTTATTATGTTTCTCATCTGTGAAATTGGCGATTATAGCAAAAACCCAACAAATTTCTTCAATTCCAATTTCACAATAATTTTCTCTCCTCGAAAGTCTATCAGGTGACCGTTATCATCCAAGATGCGCAATGTAATGTTTTCGATGAACTGACGTCCGTCGGGGTTTATGGGCAAATAAATATTATTTTGAGGTTCTTTTGTAATTTTGTAACCTGGTTCAACTTCTATATCAAATTCGAATAGAGTGTGACACTCGCGAGAATTCAGATAGGCTCCCAAGGTGATATTACAGTCTATACGTATAATTTGCACTTTCATAATATCTACTGGAAATACGGACTCATGTTTCACACCACTTTCCAACAGGCCACTAACGAACCCTTACATCGTCCAATACTATTCGCCAAAAGCCAACTTTCAAACTATAAACCCATAAAAAATCACTAGTATTTCCACAAGTTCATGAAAAACTCCTCTTGTGTGATTTTTTTCACAATATCGTCGTGACGACCACGCATCACCCCCATTTCCACTCTGGTTAGCTAAACCTGCTGGTCCGCCTGCTCCAAAGCCTTCTGTGCCAGCTGTAGTTGAGCTCTCAAAGCTTCCATTTGAGATCTCATGGCTTCCACCCTCCTTCTTGCAGTCTCTGCATGTGCCTCCGATGCCTCCAGATTTTGTGTCACTTCAACAAGCACTCTCGGCAAATAATTTGGCTTGAAGAGCCTCCTTGCGGCTAATTACCGCCTTGAAAAAATCACCCTCGGGCTGCTGCTGCTGCTCAGCGGGCAAGTCAACAATCTCTGGTTGCTGCTGCTGCTCAGCTAGCAAGTCAACCACCTGTGGTTGCTGCTGCTTGGCCGGTATAAGGTGGCTTGTTACACAAATTTTCGGCCTTGTTTCGTCGTCGTCAGATGATTCAATTACAACTTCAGGTGGAACAACACTTGGGGACTCTTTAAATAAATAAATAAATTATATTTCAAAACTTAAATAAAAATTTACACACAATTTCATATGGTGGTGCCTCGCCTTCTCCTGTCAAATAAAACGAAATTTTATCATTTAATTTTAGTAGGTTTACAATAAAATGCATTTAAAATGACTAAAAACCATCAGAAAATAAATGTTAAAGAATATAAAATATAAAACATTTATAATTTTTCTGGATAATGCACTTATCCTTGATAAATGTAAGTATATTGAGTTAACTAGTATACAAGCAGATAATTAAAGAATTAGATTAGGAGGTACTTAAAGCTATTTTATAATTTACACTGAAAAATTTTAATAGGTAACATCTTTGTTTGTAGTAGGTATGTACCTACCATCGTCACCAAAAGTAACTGGGACGGCATCACATAAGCTCTTGTCCTATTATATGAATTTTATTGTCAAATATTTGTCAAACTATAATTTAAATGCATTGAAATGAATGACAGTAGAATTAGTCCAGGAGATTATTATGCATTATTTGTGTCCCAGTTACTTTTGGTGACGATGGTACATAAAAACCATTCCAAAGTCATTATCAATTTTCTTGGAAAACGTCACAATTATTTTATAGTTGATCATTATAACCAAGGACAATATATATGTATATGAATGATTTTCAATACCTGCATTTTTTATTAATAATATGATTTACTGTCAATCAAAATTAATACATAATTCGTAAGATTAAACTTATATAATATTAAATACATAGGTACCTACATCTACTTGCATACAAAGTCAAAAATAAAATAAAAATAAAAATAAATAAATTAACTATAAACATTGATCCATATCTCCAAAACACCTACCCAGTGATTCGATATTTAAAGGAACTCGCTGCCCATAGACGCACTCTAACAATGAGAAACATAAGAAGAATAAACTTGAACTTTTATTTTATACTGACAACTCTGGAAAAATCACAGAAAATTGATACTGTAGAATGCAAATTCTTCAAGCTAGAAAACACATTATTGAGGACAAAAATCAAGAGAGCATCAATAGTGCATCTGTTGGTTAAAAATCCTTACTCTATAATGTAATGGTTTTCCAATCCATTGAAAATTGAAAAATTCTTGGGGTGCTACATTAGAAAGATACTAAACATATCTATGATCTCATTCTCATATAGGAATAATTATAATTATTGCTTCTGTTTATTATTGAAAAACCTATCAACATCAGCTGTTAACATATAAAAGGAAAAATACTCCTTATATAATGGAAGTAATAAATATTAATTAATATCAAGGTCCTGATTAGTAACAGAAAGATGCAGCGGACAATAAATTATTGGAAAGTCGTCAATTGAATGATCTTCATGACCCAGGAATGTTACGTCATCAATGCAAACATCACGCAAAATAATTGTTTTTGGTAAAATAGAAAAATATTTACTTATTTTTTTTTCTAAAAATAAATAAGATTATTCTTCATTGGAGGCACAAATTTTTATCATATACAATTATTATGTAAGTAGAGGTATTGAAAAATTTAAGATAATTTGTACATACTTGATTTCCCAGTTTTTTTCCAAAGCAGTGGCTTGGAGAATTGATTGTATACGAATACATTTTTTATTTGTTGTTACTTAATCATGAAATTCATAAATATTGTAAAAGTTTTCTTCGGAGTCAGTTGAATTAAAAGTGTGGAAAACTAAAAAGAAAACAGAGATAATTTTGTTGAAAATGGAAAACATTAAGGAAAAGAACAACAAAATCTCAATACATATACGCTAAATTGATTTACACTATGTATTATAATGACCATTCTGCATACATTCAAATTCCGAAATGTACATTTTTAGATTAGCACAATATTTTTCCTTTTATTATATTTCATGTTTGAATGTTTGATTTCAGATTATTCTGGCATTCATGGCCAATTTTTCGAACATAGCACCAGGAATGAGCATAGGATTTTCAGCAGTAGCTTTACCAGTCCTGAAAAATCTAGATAGTCAACAAACATCTTGGTTTGGTAAGTAACTTTGCACTTTGCCATACATAATTGTATAGGGTGTTTTCTAAGTAACAATCGTTTTTTTATAAGCAGCAATTTGAAGTCCATGTTCATATGAACTTTTTTCACAAAATGTTTCCTATTGGTTTTCATAAATCACTGAAGTTGTTTTTCTTACTTTGAATAAAACCAAATTGAAAATGCTTATATCAATTTTAACTTATATAGTCTGAGAGTTGATTCAATTAATCCAGAATATAACTCACATCAATCTTGAAGCAAACCATATTGTTCTGTTGGATTTGAAGAGTTTTGAAGACCAGGAAGTGGAAAATATAGTTGTGATCTGAACGACAATTTTATTCAATTCCAAGTCAAACATCGATCACTGTCTTACCATTCTTTCTACCATGAAAATTTGCCTTAGCAAAACTAAAAAACATTTTTTTCACATTTTTAGCAAGTATAGCATCCTTGGCGACCCCTCTGGGTTGTCTAGTTTGTGGACCAATAGCCGATAGATATGGTAGAAGATGTTCCATAGCAGTGGTCAATATAACAGCTTTTCTTGGTTGGGTTATCGTTGGTTCAGCATTCTATTTACAGCAACACCAATACGAAGTTCTTTTGGTAGGAAGGTTCCTTACAGGACTAGCAACAGGTAAGAATTTTCACTACATTATATAAAGTTTTAAATTAGTTTATAATGTTTGTTTTAGGATTGTGCGGTACGCCAGCTGCCATTTACATGGCTGAAGTAGCCAGTTCGGATCTCAGGAGCGTCTTTACTACTTGGGTTTCATTGTTTTATGCCATTGGTATATTTTTGGTTTATCTGTTGGGTCTTATTTTGAAGGTTCGTATTATTTAGCTAATTTTAACTTAAACTTTAATTTCAATATTTATCTCAAATTACCTATTTGGTGATTGCACATTTCATTAAAATTGGAACAATTTGAATCACCAACTTTGTGAAGCTAACTGAGACTTTTTCTTCTATTCGAGCTGAGATTTAAATTAAAGATAAATACATGTTTTGATAGTTAAGAAGCTTCATCTATGTCAAGTTTTCTTCTCATACCACATACCAACTCATATTATTTGATATTATTAGAATCAGCATAGTGGATAGATCCAAAGCAGATCATCATCAAATAAAAAAAACTTGAACTACTAAACACATACTAAAAGTTATTTCTCTCTTAGGATGATTGGGGTACAATAGCTCTATTTGCAGCAGTATGCCCCGTCATAGGCATTTTCTTCCTCAAAGCGTTCATCCCGGAATCACCTTCTTGGCTTGTAAGCAAGCAACGCATAGAAGACGCCAAAAGGAGCGTGTGCAGACTTCACGGTACCAAAAACTTTACCGACGAAGTACTTTCGGAAGTTCAAGGGCTCATCAACAACGGAGGTGGCGCAAAAAAAGAGAAACTGTATCAAAAAACCATTCCGCAACAGGTTATGAAAAAGATGAAAATGCTGATGAAAGGGAGTTTTTTGAAACCTTATGCTTTGGTGCTTACGTTTTTCTTTTTCCAGCAATTCACTGGGATTTTTGCTATAATGTTTTACGCAATCGATATAGTAAAAGGAGCAAAAATTGAACTAGATTCATACGTTACTATTGTCATTATAGCTTTGGTGCGCCTAATTGCAATGGTATTGTTAAGTTTCTTTAGTAAATATTTCGGAAGAAGACCTCTGAGTTTAATATCTGGCTCAGGTATTGCTGTTTCTATGCTAGCTCTCGGTAGCTACATTCTAGCCACCAAACAAGGCCTCATAACCCCGGAACAAGAACAATCTTTATCCTTTGTTCCATTAATTTTGATAATGTTCTACTTCTTCATTAGTACACTAGGGTTCTATCCAATCCCTTTTGCCCTGGCATCAGAAATATATCCTAGAAACATCAGAGGCACCGCTTCGGGAATCAGCGCAGGCTCCAATTTTTTGCTGAATTTTGTTATTGTAAAACTATATCCGACAATGGTGGAAAATATAGGTGCCCATGGGGTATTCTTCTTTTATGGAAGCGTCGGTTTAGCAGGCACCTTTTTTGTTTTGTTCTGTTTGCCTGAAACAAGAGGTAAATCTTTGGAAGAGATACAAGCAATGTTTGTAGGAAGAAAAGAGGCAAAAACTATTCAGGATAAAGAACAAGGCGTATATTGAGTTGCTGTTCATGTGCTTATTACCAATTAAGACATTTTTTACCTGTGATTAAAGTGATTTTAGTTTGTATGATGTTAAGTAAAACTAATTACTAATACTTAATTTATTATATAGGTAATGTTCTAGATATTTTTTTATAATAGTAGTTTTTGTATGTTTACAATCCTAAATATTTTTTAGTTAACTTATCGACTTTTGAGACTGTTCAAGAAATATAGGTACCTATCTAAAATTTTGTTATTATTGATAGAAAATGAAAATTAAATAAATTCTAGTGAAAAGATGTTTGATCTTACTTGACTTTTATTAAAAATTTGGTATTATAATTAATGTAAGTATGTAAGTAATCATTAACCAACATCTAAACTATTGTAAGTGCTACATATGCTGGCAGGGGCGGATGGGCAACTTTGAATCGGCCCGGGACGGTTTTTGCTCAAGCGGCCCCGCGCGCTCACAGGAGGTGAATAACACTGGATAGGGTATTAAATAGTCTCCTTTTTTAGAAAAAAAAAACCTCCTTATATTACTCAAAAATACGAAAGCGTAGAGCTATGCTGATAGGTATTGTAAAATATTTTCATGTTCTAATTTACACTTTTTCTGTTTAATCAGACATTACCAAATTTAAGTACCGCAATTTGGGTTAGTTCGCAATTTTATTCAGACATTACAGGTCTATGTTTATTTTTCGAAAACAAAAATTGCGATTTTTTTTTCTGAATGCTTTCATTTCAAAAATCAACCATTTGGAAAATATTGACTTTAAATAACTTCTTTCGAAAATGAATAATTTTGAAGCATGTCCAAACTAACCGGGTTATTCTTGGTAATGTCTGATTGAAATAGCAAACTAAACCCCAAACTAACCAGGAACATCGGTAAGTCTAAAAATGTCTGATTAAAATTGAAAACTAACCCAAACTAACCGGGTTATTCTCGGTAGGTTTGAGTTTGGTAATGTTTGATTACAATAGATTTCAAACTAACACAAATTTTGAAAACAAAATGGTTATGTTCGATTGAAATTGCAAACTTACCCAAACTAACCGGGTTATTATCGGTAAGTTTGGTAATTTCTGATTGAAAGTGCAAACTAACCCGGATTATTATCAGTAAGTTTTGTTTGTTTGATTACAATTGCAAACTAACCCAAACTAACCGGGTTAGAATTAGTAAGTTTGAAAATATCTTATTGAAATTGCAAACTAATCGGGTTATTATCGGTAATGTCTGATTACAATTGCAAACTAACAAAAACTAACCGGGTTATTATTGGCAACTTAACTTTGATTATGTCTGACAAAAATTTCGAACTTAGCGGGTTATTTGCTATCCAAGTATGGAGAATTATGCAGCTTTTTTGCAGAACATTGAAGTTACTTCTAACTTCTATTTTTGTAACGTCATAGACTGTGGTCATAGAGATATAATATGCAGCAACTTGTGCAAACTATCAAACTTATATTCCGACGAATCCGACGTACCATTCACATATGGATAAAGAAAGTATGCACCTTTTCCTTGGAAAAAAAAAAAAGATGAATCTTCTTATGTCATAAAAATCACCATAATATGCACAAGTTCAGTAGCAGTGCAGTATTATCACGTTAAAACTGAATTTACAGAAGACTATTTTTTCCTTCTCCAGTAAAGATTTGATGCTTCCACGCCCCTGTGATATGGGAAATACCACCAAAAAACTATCTTTCGGATTTAGTCCGTTTTTTTTTTTGGGGAAGAATTGGACGTTTTTTTCTTTTGAGAAGTGAGAAATGAATGGAGAAAATAAGATTTTTTTCTGTTCAGATGAAACAAAATACTGGTTACTGCTTCTGTTTTCGGAAGTGTGGTGAGCATAAACAGCTACTTTCAATATATCAATTTTTACGTACACCATTAACATTAATATTCGACTCTTGTTCACTGGCCTATTTTTAAGGTAGGGGAAAATAAAAGTTTGGTTTAATTTTTTGGAAGATTTGTTAACCCTTTGGGTCAATCTTTTTCAGTTTTGTAATGTTATAGCTAACTTAATTGATAAAATTTGGTGCTGAGTATGCTGAAGCATAGGCTTGATGGCGATGGCGTCACTTTGACACTCTATATCTCGAAAACTACTCGATGTACCCCCCTTTCTTTTGCACGTAAACTATAAGGGCAACATGGACTACATCATATAAAAAATTCAGACATTTTGACCGAAATCGATTTTCTGTGTATTTAGTGCGTCGTACTTTACAGAAAAAGTCTAAATTTTAATGAAAATATTTTCCAATATTAGATGGCAGCTCAACGCCTTGTGAAAACGACAAAAAACGTTGACTGCTTTCTGTTGAATTGGCAGTGTTGTCGCATTACGCCTTAAGTGATTTTTTTTCTATCAAGTTGCGGCGTATTGTTTGTTATCGTATTTTTTTTTCCTTAACCGGCCCACTTGGCTCTCCGGCCCACCGGGAATCGTCCCGGTGTCCCGCCTGAGCCCATCCGCCCCTGTATGCTGGCAAAAGATCCAATATACCCAGAGAAAATAGATACAATTCCTGTATGCAGTGATGGAGTGTTATTGCAGGTTTCTGGAAGCTCAGTAAGTTCAAATGTTTCTGTTTCTGAAGGGGGGGAGGCCATTCATATATTCTTGAAGCCTGAGCCATGTAGATCCGAGAAACCAAAAATCAGAATTTATTAATGTTGATGGGTTTATACCTCGAGAAAGCATATCAGCTAGATTTTCTAATGTATTTATGTATTTCCATGAACCATATTTGGATAGCGTTTGAATCTGGGATACCCTATCAGCTAAAAATGTTTTGAGTAGACGTGGAGATGTATTGATCCAGGAAATAGTAACTGTAGAATCATACCAATAGGTTACTAGATCAAAATTAACAGGGAATGAAGGAATCGCCCTATCAGCCAATTCTGCCAGTAAGTGAGCATAATTAAGTTCAAGCCAAAGGTTTGAAGTATAATAACCAAAAGAGTCTAAACAACGTACTTATATACTGGTATATAGATGCATGCTCCGTAAGCGGATTGCGATGCATCACAGAATTCATGTAACTGGATAGAAATGGGATTCACTCCAAATATTTGTCTAGGAATTTGGAAATCATTGATTATCAGAAGTTCTGACCGATATTTGCTCTAAAGAGTGTGTAAGTAAGTAAATTTATAATTTCCAGAGTTATTTGTAAAATAAGTTTGGCAGTAATTGTAACCGGGGCAAGAAGTTTCAAAGGGTCGAATATCTGGGAGGTACTACAAGATAGAACATGGCGTTTCGTGATTTTACCATTGTAACCAGGAATATTTATAGAATATTGTAAGAATTCATTTAGGGGGTTCCAGAATACTCCTAAAAGCTTTGTTCTGATCTTCTTGACCAATTTTAAGCATATTAGATTTAGAATCATGTATTGACTCCTGATTGGATTTCCACTTCCCTTAGGGAAACCCACATCTGATAAGAGGCTATGAGATGTCGTTTTTAATTTGAATTGGTTCTTCCAGAGTATCGCAACCAGTGAGGATGTCGTCCACATAAAAATCATTTAGGATTGTCGAGGCAAGTTTGGGATATTCATTTATATGACGAAAAGCTATTTCGTGGAGAGCTCTGACTGCTAAAAATGAAGCTGAAGCAGTGCCATATGAAATGATATTTACCTAAGTTATAGATGGAAATGTCCTCATTAGTAGAGACTCTGCAAAGTATTTTCTGCAAATGACGTTGATCCTGTTTGACAAAAAATTGTCTGTACATTTTTGTTATGTTAGCGCTTAAAACAAAATTATGTTTGCGAAAAGGTAATAGAATATTAAATAAATTATCCTGAATTATCGGCCCAACCATCATTATATCATTTAGGGAATATCCAGATGTAGATTTAGCAGACCCATCGAAAACTATCCTTGATTTTGTTGTTGTTGACGATTCTTTTAAAACACAGTGATAAGGTAAGATGAAACCTGATTTGTCGTTCTGGTTACCAGAAAGAGACATGTGTTTAAAATGGATATATTCCTCCATGAATGCATGGTATTGTTGTTTCATGTCTGGGTTTTTGTCAAGTTTTCCCTCTAGAGAAAATAAACTATTACGAGCAGATTCTCCCAAAACATGTATAGATGCTTTCAAAGAAATTGCAACGATAATATTGCCTTCTTCACTTTTGTGAAACATGCTGTTTGAAGTGAGTTTCACAATTTGTTTCTTCTTCAGGAAGAAATTTGGTTTTTGGGCACTCTCAATTTCCCAAAATTTGGGAACTTGATTCTGAATATCAACATTAGCTGAGAAGTGACAATGTACTGTTCTATTTTGAGGACTGACGTGTAGTGGATCAAAGATGATCCAGCCAAGTTTGGTCTTATGTAGGGTTGGCATATTTACTTCAAGTTTGATCTAACCAATGCTTAGAAGGTCTCAAAATGTATCAGCACCTATGAGAAGATCAACTGAAGCAGGACTTCCAAATCTTGGGTCGGCCAGTGTGATGCCAGTCAATAAAGAAGTGTCAATATTTGTGTAAGGTAAATTTCCAGTAATCTGAGGTAAATCTAAGCAAGAAATTTGTCTCTCAAAATTATTAATAACTGATTTGAATCTTATCTGAACTAAAGAATTTAAATTGTGATTTAAATTACTAATCGCAGAAACTGTAATGTTAAAATTGTTGAGGTAATTTCAAAATATTGCCAAGTCTCTGTGAAATGAAACTAGACTGACTTCCATTGTCGAGTAGGACTCTGCAGTCATGTTGTTTACCTCTCTTATCCAAGACCTCACAATGGCTGTGGATAATAAAATATGTGGTTTATTAGGTGAATCAGTTAGGAAATTAATATGACATGATAGTGAGCTGTCTTGTGTGACTTGTGTTTCCTGAGCCTAGGTGAGGTTGATATTAGAAGAAGTTGAAAATTGTGTATTTTTGTTGTTTGGTGGATAATTTTCGAAGTGTAATGTTATAATTGCAGAGAAAACATTTAGTTTGTTTTGTTGTTAAGAAAGTCTTAGGGTTATGAGGTTTGATAGGCTTTATTTTTTCATTATTAGAATTTGAAGCCATTGACTCGAAAATTCGACACCTATCTTTAAGAAAGTGTAGCAAATTGTCCATATTTGCTAACTGATTGCTCCTGCCTCTTGATTCCCAGGCACGGAGTGTGGCATTATCAAATTTAGTTGTAGTGAAATATACCGGTCTGGCAAGTGAACATCTTTATTGCAATAGAATGAAATGTCTAGAGAAAGTCTGGTTACATAAGAAACGAAAA